GCAGCAGCTCCTGTGGTGAGTACAGGGAATCTTGCTTAACTTCATGCTCCATGGAAAGCTGCAAGATAAGGAGAGCTTGGCTCTGGGACACTGAGCAAGAGACTGGCTATGGGATTTTCTGATATCCTAAACCCCAACGTGATTAGCAAACGGATTAGGTCAGTGAAGCAAAACAGACGTGTGGATGTTTCATTAGTTTGTTCAGTTTGATGGGATCTGTGACCTGTTAATGAGCAAAAAGACTGTTTCCCACCATTGAACTGTTTTTTCTCTGCACAGTGTTGCGGTTTGGCTGTAGCTGGCTATAAGGAGCGATACAAAAGAACTCAATTTCTTCATGGCTGCAGAAGGGTTAGCTGGTGTGCCATGTCCTTTATGGCCACCTGGGTAGGCAACCAAGCAGAAGGGGGAAGTAAGAAGTATGTGGTGGGATATTGGCTCTTCTTCCTCAAGGCCAGGATAGGAGGGGATTGAGGGAGGAGGGGCACTAGGCCAAGCTGTTCATACACAGTAGGTGTTCGAGCAAGGTAGACCAGGAGAGAAGCAAACATGACCGTGTGGCTTCCTTTGAGCTCCACGGCTTACATGCTTTCCATAGTGTGTGACTTGCTCTGGTGCTATATAATCTCATTAGCCATGACTTTTGTTTATGCTAATTTGGTATCCTGTGGAAAGCAGTATCTGAACTGCCTTCTGTCAACTACTGGTAAAAATAATGCATCTTGTACTCCCTAGTGTAGTCCGTCCTGTAGCCTTGGAGTTATCAACCTGCTCAGTGAACTGAAACAGTCTCCTTCCAGTGGCAGAGCAGTTTCTTTTCACCCTGTTGCTGGTGCCACAGAATCTGCATGCATCCTTACATGTATAATTCGATTCACGTGCCTTGCTGCTGCATTTTGTTCCTGTATTTTGTTGAAAGATAAGGGGGATGCTTAAGCCAGCTTGAAGAAGTGGAGCTTCCCGTAACTGTACAAAATTTGGTCAAATTTTGCTTTGACTCCAGTTGGACAGTGACCAAAGAGGCTGCACAGGTCAGATTTCTGCTTTTTCTTCAGTAGTGCCATAGATACTTTAAATTATGAGCTTTTACAACGTTAGCTATTAATCTAGGTTATTTGGTGCAAGCCAAGCATGTTACATTCAAAGCTGAGTTAGAGACTAGTGAAATAAGGATTATAATGACCATTAGGCCTGGATAACTGATCGACTTCATTGTGGTTGTGGATGTGGCATTTGGAACAGTCAGATCTCACCTCTGAAGTGTTAGCTGGTCTGTGCTGCAAATGGGAAGCTATGGTTTTCTTGACATTTAAACATCAGGAAGTTGGCGGCCTTCATCCAGTTAATCCTGGTGCTCAGTACTAACGGCTCAGTAACTGCTCTGGATGAGCTGGAAAGGGGAGACTTGATTTAAAGATCCCTGTGCTAGGATATTGCCTCCAACTCCCATGCTGGGGTTAAGCCATCTTGTATCCTCTAGGAGGAGGAACGGAGCCTCCTTTCGATCCGCACAATCATCTGCTTTGTCTTACAGAATAGCACTGTACCTGCTGTCCCTTCAAGGCAAAACTGTCCGCGTTTTACGGCACTGGACTGTAGGAAGTGTTACAAAATAGCTGATGCTTGGTGGGGTGTAGGGATGGCAGAAGTGTAGCTTCCCCTAAGACTGCTTTGGGAAGCTGACCCATGCTCTGGAGAGCTCATTTAGTTAGAATCCCCATCTCAGCTTAATCTTGCAAACAGTTTGTGTTTTCACTCTGACATGCCTCCAGTGTGCAGTTTTTGTTTATCTTGCGTGTGTTTGCGACGCATGCGATTAGACACAAAGCTGACATTTAGTATGTAAAGCTGGCAAAAGAAACAGAAGCTGTATTCAGATCAACAGTCAGAAATAGAATACAAGATGTTGTTAATGACACTTGTGCAAAGCAAACAAAACAACCCATAAGAACTGAGCTACCGCATACTGTGTGATGGCAACCAAATTCAGCGCTCAAGCTCACTCAGCAGCAAACACTAACAAAAGGTATCCAGGAAAGAAATACCCTGCCTGAGAAGTTCTGTAACATATCTTTCCTCTGAGGCTCCTTTTGCAGCTTGTTCACATCTCGTAAACTTCTATTTTAGGTGGGCAAGAGAAAGTAAGAGATGATGTGACAATGCTCAAATAGCAATGAAATCGTGAGAGCAGGGGAATGCTGCTGCCTCTTTCTTTCCCTTCCTTCTGTTACCCCACGTGTCTAACGCTGAGAAATGAAAATGCTTGTCATTTTTCCCCCACAGGAGATGGATTTTGTTAGTGTCATTTTAGCCTCCTCTTAATAAACTGAGCCAAGTTGGGGATGGTGTAAAAGTAACATAAAACTCATTAGATGGATCAAGGAGAGAAGAATCCTCTGCAGAGCTGAGGCAGAAGTTGCTCGCCTGTTTTGGTCTCATCACTTTTTGGTCATTCTGGCTTACCCCAGAGCACAGGCATCACTGCTGGCCTTGATGTATCAAGTGAGATTGAAATTATCAAAGAAGAAGGGTGTGGAAGTTGTGCAGGAGAAACCATGCACTGCAGTTGGTGGATTTCCCTGCAGTACCTCTGTGCCATCTGTGTATTAATAGCACTCCACAAGTGCTTATGTGTTACAGCTAGAAAAAAATATGGTTTTAATGGTGTAGATGTTAATGAAGAAACTTGCTTGGCTCCAAAGGAATTTAACTGATCAGTAGAAACAGCATCAGGATCTTCATTTATCGCTTCCTGTGGTTATAGATTGACTGAATCCACCCTAAAAGAGAAGACTAATATAAGTTGTCAGCTGTATGGGTTGTGATGGAGCTGTTGAGGGCATACTTAAACAAAGGCTTCTCTCTTGAACTAATGGTGCAAATTACCCCTTGCCTAATCCTTTCCCATTCCCATTTCCTTCACCAGAGCACATGTGTCTCTCCATACTGCCCCCTGTGTGCTGTGAGCTCAGAACTGTGACTTGGGAGAACCTGGGGCTCTGCTTGGAAGCAAGGCAGCTGCTAGTATCTGCTGGGCTGGTTAACAGCAGGTGGGGAGGAGCTGTGCTCAGCTGCAGCTTCTGTCTGTGGCTTGACCACTGGTATTTGCATGGCTCTTGAGTCTTACTTTTGATTATTGTTTTTTCGAATGACGCTTGAGTGCCCTGCCATCCGCACTGCAGTTGTGTTCGTAACAGCCCTGCAGCACAGGGGAATGCAAAGGACATCGTAAAGCATCCCTGTGTGTGTAAAGGAGCTTTGATGCAAAGATACTACATGCTGTCTACACCAAACTTCCAGGGATTCACTTCCAACTGCGGCATTCATAAGCCTGTTTGGGTGCCTGCATTCCTTGGGTGTCTGGGGTTGGAGTTGGACAGACACCAGTTTGGGTGACAAGGGGTATAAAAACCTGCTGTGATCACCTGAAAGAGGCGAGGTGGTTACTCACAGTGTGGCTGTTTGGTTACTTACTGCTGCCTGACTCCTGTCTTTGGAGTGTGACTGAAATCTACGCTGTGGAGTGGGGCCCTGTACACATTATGTACACAGTTCCTCAGCACCAGACTGAGGCATGTGGGTTTTCCTGTAGCGTAAGTAAACAGCAAGGATGTGTGCCAGCCCATGCCTTGCAGGTAGATCTGTGTGTTGTAACTTCCAAAATGAAAACAAAGTTTACCAAGGCTGCTTTGTGATTTCAGCTTAAGAAGGGAAAGGATGTTTTCAGAGGTATTTTTATTTTCTTTATCTAGAAGTATGAAAAGACTTCTGATAACAGCACTTAATGCAGCAGAGCGAGACAAGGGGGTTGAACTAGACAAATCTCTGCCAGGAACAAGTCCTTCAGACAGTTGTTACACCTGTGTGTTTTGCCTTGAAACATACTGGGTCCAAGGTGACTTTGTGAAGAGCTGCTGTAACCCAACGAACCTTCATAGGTGAGTGCCCTGGAGTGAAACATTCTGGCCTGTCTTTTGCCAGGAATGAAACCACAGGTTCGTAATGAGTCATCTTAGCATTGCAACTGATGAATACTGGCTGACTAAAAATACTGCTTTTTTGCTTTTGTTACTTTTGTTGGTTTGTTTTTCTTTCACCAGGCTAGGTGCATTCTCTGTGTATATGGCAACATAAACTTTTGTTGGCAAGCTTTCCACACATGGTTTTCTTTCTTTTAGGCAACTAATGTGGCTGAGCTATCCCATATGTGCAAGTATCTTGTGTCATTTGCATCTGCAACCAATCGCAGCTAATACATGTGTGTTTTACTTTGCACTGTGCACCATACTGACCGGGGAGCATCCATGTTGGGCAGCCTCAATGGATTCTTCACCTATGCTGATCCCCTGTCCTCTTTGAACAGGATGTTTTGCAGACCTGAGCTGAGACCTGTGCTCTCCTTTCTTGAGAGGCTCTTCCAAGCTTTCAGACTGTTGGGAGCAGGCAATGATGTTGGTTGTAGGTCTTCAGAGTTATTATTCTGGGTGTCCAGCATCAGCTGACTGTCCCTTCCCTGTGTCAGTTTTCTGCCTCCATCAAATTCTTCCTTGCTCTCTTGATGCAGCTCCTAATCTCAGTTACTGCAGCCCAGCATGTGTGGAGTGGCCTCAGACCAGCTACATCCCTCCACCTGCTTGCTGAGGGCTTGTCTTGGGGCCTTGTTTCTGAAATGATTCAGTTCAGAGTTGCATTTCAGTACTGTGGAAGTTTGTCAGGATGAATGTTGGATAAAGGAAGTGAAGGAAATGAGTAGTCAGTCTACATGGTCTTGCCTCTGCTTCATTATTAACACCCCCTCGAGGACTGCCAGGACGACTCTTGTCATTTTGCTCCTGCTCTTATCACAGTAGAGGTTTCCTACCAAGACTGAAATGCATCTTCAGCATCACTTACACTCCTCCGAGCCTTACAGCTTGTTTTATTAAATGAGGGCAGGACATTAGATTTATTCTCATTCTATGTTACACTGCTATTGAAATGCTACAAGTATTTATTCATAGGGTGAACATCCAGCAAGGCCATATGGCACCCTCGCTGGTGACAGGCTGCATCTGAATGGTGAGTTATCCTAGAGAAGAGTGCATAACCTTTGAGCACTGATGACCCAGTGAAACCTCTCATCATAAGTCTCCTCCTGCCAGGTAAGCCAGGTTGTCCACAGGACCCTGACATGAGTTTTGGCCACTGCTAACTGCGGTCACTGGTTGTCACCATGTTTAAAACGTTTATTTCTGGATGGATCATCAGTTTAATAGGACACATGCTGGCAGCCAGAACAGGAGAGTGGTGGTATTTTGCTGATCAGTCAATTAGTCCATCTTCCAGCTTACAATGAAGAAAACAGTTGAGCACCTACAACAGGGATCTTACGTCAGCTGTGTGCTTTCAGGCTCTTGTACCTTCAGGCTCTTGTGACTGACTTGACTTAATCATTTATGCACTGCTAAAGAGCCGCTTGCTGGTGCTTCCTGCTAATCACATTTGATTAGCAAAACTTCAGGCCGTCCTTTGTGTGAGAACATCTCCTCATAACCATGTGTGAAGTTCAGTGGCACATTTTGGGGAAACACATAGAAATCCTGCAGCAGCACTGTGGATACTGCACATGACCAGGGTGGGAAACAGATGCTTTTATTTTAGTGGAAGTGTAATGATTTTACTTGTACATAGCAAAGTATGCTGAGATTAAGAAATACCCTCTGGGGGTAGGTGGAGGGAAGGCATTCTTCATTTCTTCTCTTAAGCCTTAACTGGCGCCTTGGAGTATGAAACGGCAGTTGGAATTCGATGTTTGTGGTGATGAAAATCGAATGAACAAAAGTTCTCAACTTGGTGCTTAGCCATTGAAGAATTTCATACCATAGAAATCACACTGTCATGGACTGCAATTTGTCAGGAGGATTTTGTATACTGACTGCAACTGACCTCAGATATGGGACACATAAGACACTGAAAGGGTTTTGGTGGGGTGGTGAGGTTTATTTGTTGTTGTACATTAAAATAGCAGGAGTCAGAGGAAATATTAACCTATTTGTGTCAATTTCACCCTCAGCTGTCAAACACTAGGTGTGCTTGCTGCCTGGAAGAATGACACAGCCTTAGGAGAACTGCAAGGAGGCTAAAAAGGAGGAAAAGAAGAGCACGTGTTGGTTGGGAGGGCTTATGAAAATTCCCGCTAAGCAAATGCTTCAGTGATTAAAAAGAGGAGAGGTGCCTCTGCCTGTCCTCTCCTCCCCTTCCTGCTCAAGGAGTACTGATGCTTTTTGCCTTTTAAATCTCACTAATGTTGCTGGGGCTTGAATTTGGCCTTTAAACTTCTAAAATCCTTTTTGGTGGTGTTACCCTGTGAACAAGGCAATGGTTTCTTCCGTGCTTCACTTTTTAGCAATTGGGAATTCCCTGGTTGTGATCCCAGCTGGAACCAGTGCTATGCTTGGATGCTGCTGAAACCTGCACCACTGTACCTTGTGCACTTAGAGCCAGGTTTGAATGAAGCAGCAAAAGAAGAGAACGTGGGTTACTTTGTAATGGGGAATCCTAAACCACTCTGGGCTGGAAGTCCTAGTGTATCATACCATGCACTGGAGAGGCACATGCTTGTTCATACATAGACAGAGCACACCCCCTTTTTTTATTTTATTTTATTTCCTGAAGGACCCACACTCTGGCTTCTAGTTTGTTTGGCTCTGTTGCTATATTGTTACTTCCTTTCTTTTCCTTAGGAAATCCACGCAGTTTCCTTGATGTAACTTTCTGTGCTTTGTGTTGATACATTTCCTATTCTGTTAGTTTCTTACCAATGACCTCAATTCTCCCCATTTCCCAGGTGCTCCCTCACTGGGGCAATGGAATCACTGCCTCTCCTTTGCCAGCACAGAGGGTACTGGGATCCTGCCTTGAGGTCTGCAAGGACTGATGTCCCTCCAAAAGGTCCCTTCATCTCCTCTGCTACACATACAAGCAACAAGCTTCAGAAAAGAGAGCAGGTACTGACATGAGGAAACTTCTCATGTGTTGTATGCTCTTTCCAATGTATGTCAGCTCCTCAGGAATGCTTGCCAGGGGATATATTGGCTAGCTAGGGTTATCAGAATATAAACAGGGTGTTTTTTTTTTGGCGGGGAAGGACAGGAACCTCATAAGGGAGAATAACAGCTTATACACATTTAGATTTCCAAGTAATTCTCCCCACTCCCTTTCTTGCCCCTTTTACAGGGCAATGTAAGCCTTAAAACATCACAGCTTCTCTCCCCTGTAAAACAGTCCCATGTCCCTCAGTTCAAACACACTGACTGTGTTTCCAGATCTGGTAAATGATGTATGTTTCAAGGCTTTTGATGTGGTTCAAATACAAAGGCTTCCCTTGAGGTATGGAGCACAAAGCTGTGTTGCCACACTAATACAGCAGTCACTGAATATTTATGACTTCAGAGCAATACATCTGCAGTATTTGTGGGAGTGTTTCTAACAGAAATAGGGGGTTTCCCCAGAGAACTGATAATTTCCTGAAAACGTTTAATCACCCCATTCAAAATAGAACCTTAATTAGCCTAAAGCTATATGTGGGATACAAACTTGTAAGTTCTGTCATTATTTTAAGATCCTAGAATTATCTTTTTAGCTTATTTCTGTTTGTAACAGTTCTTGGCACAATAATCTGCTGAAATTGGAAAAATAATATGACCATCAAGGCTCTTAAAGTCTGAACATCAAACCCATTCCCCTCTTCCACATTTGGGCGTCACATTAACATGTCATGAAGTTTTATATAAAACACTTTCTGGTTCTAAGTAGCGTTCAGTTTTTCCTAACTAAAGTTTAAGTGTCTCCTAAGGCATGCAAAGCAGAGATTCAGCACTGCAGAGAGCTTGAGGGGCAGCTTGCTATGGATTCGGTGCCTAAAGGTGTCTCTGAATAATGCACAACTAAGAGGTTAGTCAAGATTAAGATCTCTGCAGAGGCAGTTTTGACTAACAGCACATGAACCTGCTTTGTAAGAAAGCTTCTGAAAAGCTCACATAACTGGGGTGGGGGAAGTCTATTTAAGCTCCTACTTGCCTGAAAGATAAAATAATCTTTTATACCCTCTGAAGTCTGCAAATGAGATGTTTTTCCCTTCTTATTTATGAAGCAGAGGAAGTCATCTTGGATACTTTTGTCTTGTTACATGCTCACTTAAATTTTGGAGTCCATTGCTGTGGGAATGCAGGCCATTATACTCATTAACCGTATTTATTCCTTTACTTTTGCTCTGTAAATGCAGTAGACTTGTTTTTGGGCATACTCTGGTTATCACTTATCTTGGACAACTTGTTAAACAAAACACAACTTCCTTGTAACCGCCATTCTTGTAATCAGTTTAATGCATTAGTAGATACTTTGTACTGATTTACATAGCTTGACTTTAGAGATTAGCTTTGCTTTGAGTGCAATTATTTAAATTAGTAGAGGAGTACAATTATTCCTAGGAAAAACAAATTTATATAAAAAGGTTATACAAAAACATCTTAACAGAAAGTAAAACCTAACTCTTGCGTATTATAACTTCATAATCATAGTAACTTTTCATGATCTTCCTCTTTGGTGCATAAATTTCACTTTTAAACAATCATCAAGCATTATGGAAAAACTGAAATGAGTTTAAAACTAGTTACCCAAAGCACACAATGTATCTTTATGTAAATCCTCTGCTGGCATCTTATAAAAATATTGGCAAAGAAATAAATGTAAAATTCGTTGCTGACTTTACAAAATGTCTTATTAATTTGCTTTAGTGATACTGGACTTCTTCCACAGTTGGCCCAGGTGAGAGATTCCAGTATACTGGAAGCACAATGATGCTCAAATGGCCATTTCACAGCAGGTTGTGCTGGAGGCCGAGTGTTAGGATTTGGCTTAGAGATGTGTGGGATGCCAGGGCGAGGAAACTGAGGCGCAGCCGGCCTGCGAATCGCACTGTAAGAAATAATGCCTGTTATTCATGCTAGTTTACAATCAGATCAAACACTGTATTTATTGAATGCATGAGGGAATCAAACCCACAATCAACTCCTTCAGATCCACTAGCTGGATCTCAACTCCATTCTCCTTCTCCCCCCTGCCATAAGGAAAGTGTGATGATGTATGGGTAGGCTAGAGCACCACAGCTAAGAGCCTTGCACTGGTGTTGGAGGCTCTACTCTTTGGAGAGTCAGAATATTAGCAACAGAAATGTAGTTTTTGGATGTTTTATCTGCATTTTTTTGTCAGTATCAATAAAACTCAATCTCATTTGAAAAATAGCAGTCTGTCTTCAGACAGACTTCAGGTCCAGTCCTCCTAAGTGGTATTCACAGCATTCTTGTGTACACCACTGAATGCATTTCATCACTTTTATAAAGAACACTGGAGTCTTAGGAGGAAAAAAAGTTAAAAACCAAAACCCAATTTCATGGTGTTGGGTTTGGAAGCACAGATTTCAGACATGAAGTTCGGTTTCTCAGAGGATTTCAGAACTTCACCTTAAATGCGTGTTTTCCAGTGTGTGTGGGTAAATGAATGTTCACTTTCCAACTCTGTTAATACAGTCTGAAGCAATCCAAAGACAGAAAACAGCCAGAAAGCTCTGGAGAGGCCACATTTTGCAGAAGAGGAGAAACTCTGAGCTCGGTGTGGATAATTCACAAGCAGAACTGATTGACTGTGCTGGATAAATTGTATTCTGCGAATTCTCCCACATAACAATTGTCTAGAAATGACAGAGATCACCCATTCTGATCCCAGGGGTAATTCCCTCACCCCCTTGAATGATTCACCTCACTTCAGCATCTGCAATTTATAAGCACCTCTGCTATTACCAAGCTTTTCATAATAGTTATCTCCAGCTTCAGCGCTTTTAAGACTCAGTGCTTTTTTCCCATTTATTGTAGGTGACTTCAGCTCCACGCAGGGCAACAGCTCTGTTAGGAAACCCTATGCAGGAGCTGAGCTGCCTTTTGAAGGAAGAGTGGTAATTTTTCATTTCAGGTCATGCGGTAAGACTAATTTTTTGTGGGTCTTAAGAGAACTCAACAAGAGCTTTGGAGGATAAGCAGCAGCAGAGGCGGTACCTACTGCTTTTTGGTGTGGGCGCTGTACTTGTGTGAGTAGGAGGGTAGCAGGCTTCAGAAATGAGACATGGCAACACGGCTCTCAGAAGGAGCAACTGCCTTCTCCTTTGCATGGGAGAAGGGTGGCAGGAAAGACCTCGCTGAGGATTGTCCATTTTACAGTGCCACAGAAGGAATGCTATAACAGTGGAACATGGCATTCCCACCACTTGGAAAAGTTGGAGAGGCAAATTGGTTCAAAGTAACTTATCTAACAAGGCCTTTAAGAATGACATTTGTGTTCAGGAATAAGTTGCATCATTTTGTTACTATGAACAAATATTACTTAATCTCTTTTATAATTCTCATAATGCAAAATTACAAATAATACTGATATCTAAAAGGATAAACTTTAATTTTGAAACTTTCAGGTCCTAAACTCATCTGAAGGAAAGGAAACTGGAGAAGAAAATCTGACTTCTGGAGCTGCTTAGCACAGACTGTTCTTGCAGAGATCAATAAACTGAAGGAATCTGGGGCCTAAGAAAACCAAGAGTCAGAAAACTGGTTAAAGTTCTCAATGAGAAGATTCGCAGGTATGTTAACAGAATGCAGACATCCTTGTTCTGTGCCTTAAACTTTTAATGGCAACCATCCTTGCATGCATAAGAAGGTTGCATGACTCCTTCATTTTCAGAGGAATAAGCAAAAAATAAGAAACTTTCCAGGTCATTATTTTGCTGCCTATTCTTAGAATGAATGCAAGATAATTCATGAGGTCTGCAACCTCAGATTTTTATCTAAGTTCAGTTCCTGGTCAGTTTGTTCTTGGTACAGATTTGAAAGCTGAACTGATTAAAAAAACCACAAAAAACCAACCACTAATCCCCCTCAGCCCAATGAATGCTATAAACCAGATTTATTTACTTTTATCTCCTCGCAGCAACTCTAATGATCAAGTTTCACTGAAAGGCAGACCGACAGTTTTACAACTGCTATGAGATATCCATGGAAGCACACAGGTAGCAAATGGTAATTAAACTCACAGCTATTAAAGATCTCATTAGATGCCCAAACCCAAGAAACTCATAATCATTAACACAACCATCAGAAAATTCTGCTCTTTGTGGAGACAGTATCATCACCTCTAAGTTTGCCAGCACTTAAATGACCACTGGTCTCTTGGTTAATCAACATTTCTGGACACATTTATGCCTTTAACTTTGTTTTGATATTCAAGATGTTTGATACCACATATGGGATCAGTGTGTAGGGACGCACTCTAATAAATACAGCTTTTGGTTGTATAAACTCTATTAGGTGTGATAATGGGAATTCTCTTCAGCTACATCCACAAGTCAGGTGTCTAACTGCTGGCAAGTCTGCCTTGCAGTAACAAGAGTAAGTTGACACCTAACAAAGAAATCAGTTCTAGTATAAACCAGGATGTAGGATGGTTATGGTTTATCTTGTGAAATCAGACCTCTGAGCTGCAGTGCCATTCTCTTGTAACACAAACACACTCTGATGGAAAATACTTTCATGAGGGTCAGTTTCCATGATGTCTGTGTGTTCATACACATACTCTTACCTCTATTAATTAGGCATCTGCTCCTTGTCTGTTGGGCTCCTAGTTGGAGACTAAAAAGAAACAGATGCAATTAGTAGTCACGTATATCAATGATAAATTGGGCCAGTACAGAATGTTTTTCAGAGTTGAATAATTCACAAAATACAGACTTATGATGAGTCCCTTCTTATGTGTTTTGCTTCAAATGTGACTACAACACCCATCCCTGGGAGCAAGGGAACAAGAGACATCCATAAAAATAGGCAGGTGTTGTGTGGGAGAATGACAGGAGGTGGATTTTGTACAAATCTTCCTTCTAACAGCATAGCTGGTCTCTGTTGGTGACAGTTGTTAGGAGAGGCTGAAGGGAATGTGGATATTCAGTTGTCTTGGTGAACTCCTCAGTCAACAGTTTGTGGGCTGGTCTTGTGAAGACCTGACTTGGCAACAAATGGGCAGGAAACTGCTTTTTATTTTCTTGACTTTAAATTTGAGCATCACGTGAAGCTACAAAATACTTAAGAAACTGGAAATAAGCCAGGCTAAAGATGTAGCTTCATAATTCTTGTGCCACTGTGGTAAGCTACCAACAAACGAGTATTTTCAAGACTGGAAGTCCTGACTGAAATGCAAACTTTTGAAGTCATGAAGAAAAAGCCTTTTTTTTCTCTGACTCCTTAACTCTCCACACATACAAAAGCTTGCTCATGCTTCAGGATTTCAAGTTATTCCAATTTTGCTAACTGGGTTGAGTTAAAGAAGTTTGAGTTCCCATGGGCCCAAATGTCAAAATTAGGGTCTGTTTTTGTTCATCTGCCTAATGACCCATCAAGACGCAATGCGTACTGGTTAATGTCCTCAAAATTTAGTTTTCAGGGAGCTCTACTTAGATGCTACCTGCAAGCTGGAGTGGCATCAACTGATGAATAAGCAATCTGTTGGCAGCTTGGACTAAAAACAAGGTGCTGATGAGGTCTGAGGAATAAGCCAGACATTTAGCACAGCAAATGTAATCAATAACCTGCCAGTTTCTGAAAGGTGCATAGTGCTCTTTTGAGTGATTTTTTTTTTTTTTTTTTTTTTTTTTTTTGCATGAAGCCAAAGAAGAGATTTGGCTTTCAGCAGCTGCTTGAGCAAACTATTAAACCAAATCTGCTTTGTCATAGGCATGTACAGATCTAGAAATCGGTATCTGGAAGAAGAAAGTCTGTGAAGTATGCCGTTACTGCAGTGGATGACCTCAATGTACAGTGCCTCACAGGAGTGGGTCTGTAGCAACAGATAGTGAAGTTGTCCTTCTTGGATGTGCAGTGTAAGTTCTTCAGTGTAAGTACCTACTGATGCTAACAGCTACAAAATAAATGGTTTCAGTTGAGTTCCCTGTGGAAAAAGCTTTTGACCTTTCCACATCAGGCCACCTACCTCCAGGTCTTGCCAAAGATCCCAAGACTGGAATGTATGCAAAGACCAAATTGCTCATTTGCCCTATGCGTGTATTTGTCACTGGGGGATTACTAAGCACCTGACGTGTTTCCCAACACCTACCTTCACTTAAAACTATTATGTAAGTTCACACTGAAATAATAACAATTAAAAATTCAAGCTTAGCATTTGCTTAATGCAGTACTGGTTTTCTGAAGTCCATCTGAGTTGTAGTTTGTTTTCTGTGGCCTCTATCTTGCTCATTACCCAGCAGTGAAATAGTGACAGCTACTACTCAGTTCTTGCTGCAATGCTGAGTGGACAAAAGAGTATCAGTCATTCCTGGTTTTGATGAGGAATCTTACACTATACTAGCTGTATCCCTAAAGACTAAGTTCATGGTTCTACAGGGATTAGCTCTAAGGGGAAAACTAACTACAAGCAATTCAAACACTCTTATGTAGGTTCTGCAATCTTGTGCTTATTTTTAGATGCTGGATGACTAAATCTGTGGGATGCGGCACATAAGGTGCCATAATGTAACTGCAATAGAAGGCAGATTTTGAAATCTCATTTTCAGAAACAGCTAAATGAGTTTCATGTAGGTAATTCAAGTGTCCAAAGATGTAGACAGGCATCATGCAGGTTTTGTTAAAATTCCTATGAGCTACAAAGTATGCACATGGAATGCTGCATTGTCCTTAAGACTTTAAAGGAAATATGTCTAGTCATCCTTACATAAATGTTGTCTTAAGCTGCTGCCATTCATTCTGCTAGTGGACATGCACAAACCCAGAAGACTCTCAAGCTTTATCTCCTCTTTAAGGGTACAGGCAAGGAATCAGTTACGCAGAGTAAGCTGAGGCCTAACCATATTTGTATGCTCATGCTCATTTTTTGGTGGTGGTTATTCTGTCGGCTAACATTTTACTTCCCTTAGAAAAAAGATATTAGTGGTGTCTACGGGCAAGATCACATCTATATTATATAGTAATGAGAGAAATCACAGTCTGTGCCTGCACTTTCTGCAAATGAACATTCTATATGCTTAGTCCTTATTTAGTTGTTCTTAAAGTAGGTGTTTACAGATATTTCACTCTAAGAGTGACAGAGCTTTTTGCTTTGCAGCTGACTGGCTTTTTGAGGGTGTTATTCAGCCCTATATTAAACTGTTCCAAAATGAGACATGAACTTCAAGATAGCATCAAATGGTATAATGGAGGACTGAACTGAGTGCTGTTCCCATTAATAACTTTCACTACATGGAAGCAAGATCAAACTTATCAAGAAACTAAAAATTATATTCCATTCTAATTTATAGGAGATATTTTCTTTTCTCATTAGAATAAAATCAAATTCCTTTTCTAACAGGATTTTGTTATGATCTCTTTAAATCTTCAATCAAGTCTTCAGAAACCATCTATGAAAAAAGACTATCCAAATGCCAACTGCAAACATGGAATGGGGAGAAGGAGGCCCAGGGGTTTAAAAGGAGAGTGTCTGCATGCAGATGTGAAAACCAGAATTCATTAAACAAACCTGAGGATTGCTAACATGCATACATACCGCTTTATTAAATGGCATGTGGAACAACAAGTCTCTGAAATGAATGCTCTTTGGTCTGCTTTCCTTAGGAACTATGAAAGGGAAAAGAAAGTAACTGTCATTTCTGGCAATTTATTTCTATCTGGACTTAGGTAATGGTCTTCTGCTATCCTTCCTTACTCTTGCCATCAATATGCTGTTGAGAAAGGTTCCATCTTTTGGAAGTTCTTATTTTCAAGAATTTATTATCCAAGATTTAAAGTGCACTGTTGGACAAAACAGGCCTCCATAACAATTCTTCCCATCGTATTGCTGCAGTGCACATCTGCTGATTTACATGCATCAGAGAATGTAAGACAGTGCAGCAAAGGGCAGAGAGGTTAGGAACATCATGATCATTATCTGAGTTACTGGATAATTTCACAAAATTTACAATTCTGGTGTTGATACTACATTTGTGCTGGTATGATTCAATAACCAAACTCTGGAGGACAGCTGCAGAGGCAGAATCGATGTGGCCTTAAAAGAAAACCCTACAGACAAATAGTTTCTGAGCATCATCCTCATGTCCTCATTAGCTTTGCCTCACCTATAGAAAACAGAGGGTAGGAACAAATGCAGTAAACCCAGGCCCTCAGGCTCTGAGCACTTTGTGAAGGCTTCTGGAGTGAACCTGCTCAGAATGCTGTACCCCTACTGACCACAGAGGACATTAAACTGAAATACAAAGTTTGGACTGGAACTCTGCCACTGAGGCAGCAAGAGTTCCCCTTAATTACAGTATCTATCTCACAAATCCACATAAACACAACACTGTTTAACAAAATAATGGAAGCACTACTGTGGACTGGTTTTCTGTCTTGCAGGAAGGAAATAAATAATATATTTAGGTGCTAATTTTAAATAGTGATATACAAGCAATACTAAACTGCCCTTCCACCAACATGCATGTACTGAAGTTTGCTGAAATGATTTCTGAAGTCAATACCATCCAATACAATCTTTTCATAACAACAAGAAAAAATATTTTGCAGGAAACACTGGTGATTTATACTGCTTCAGGTGACATTCAATAATAAAGGGAAAAAAAGCATAATAAATGACCAGTGTACAGGTTTTAGTAATGACTTCCAATACTGAATGGCTGAAGCAGTGGAAAGTTCATCAAGAATTTGCAAGTGCAAATTGATAGCTGATTTACAAATAACATATTGAAGTCGTCAAGTAAATTGTTCTAAAGAAACCATCTACCCTAATTGTGTTATGCAGTAGGAAATGGGCTACGGAAAAGCTGAGCCACAACTTGGTAACTCTCACTGAGCTCATCTTTGGGATGAAATCTTGACCCTGCTGAAGGCCTGATTACACTAAAATATGATGCAGAAAATGCTTATTACAAATTCAATGCCTGATCCAAAAGCCTGCTCATGCTTTGGATCAGACATTTGCAGTACACTTAACGGTTTAAGGCTACAGCGTTCCAAAAGGCACAGAAAGTGCAACTCACCATTTCGATTTTCCTTTTCTAGTCTGTTTCCAACAATGCTGTCTCTAAGGTGGTGTGCTTTTTCCTGTAAGTAGAAAACAAGCATAAAACCAGCAGCAGAAATCAGTAACGGAAGTTTACTGCAGCAATAATGAGTAACTACACAAAGCCAGATGCTTTAGCATTCTGAACACCAAGCTTCTCTCTCCAGGAAAACAATTTTAAAAGACTGAAAAATGTCTATGATGCACTTGTAAGTAGATGCTAATTTTAGCATTTATACCTAAGAGTCTTGTGGCGCTTTTTCCCCATCAGTAAGTTACACTGATTCTGGCATTACATTACAGAGGCTTGGGGTTTATGTTTTGCTTCGGCCAAGTGATTTTCCCTCAAAAATCCCAGTGAATACCAGATAACTACAGTGACAGCATGAAGTAAATTCCTAATATTCATACTGAGGTAAGTGAAAGACTTTCCTCTGGTACAAACCCAAAGAAGTCACACATGCAGCACAGAGTATAAATCGCCACTGAAAATAGCTTTTCCCCTGAAGCAGTGAAAACAGGCCAAGTAAATCCTTCTTGAAATACAGGCATCTTCTAGGTAACCAAGAAAAAAAAAGAGACTTATGACTTAGTGCTGCTCTCTTTGCACAGATTAGATATCGTCTTCCTCCACAAGTAATTCCCTTGCAGAGCAGAACCAGCAATTCCCATCTGGGGTGTGGGCCACAGACATATTCAGAAGGGGCACAAAGCACACTGGCAGTGCTGCTCAATGGCTAGCGCTGTGCTGCTGGTACCCTCCCTGTGAACTCGGCTCCAAGACTGTCCCAAGGCCCTTGAGCTTCTGCTGTTAAGTGTTCCACTGTGATGACAAAACTCATACTATTTCTTCAGTAAAAGCAAACACGAGCATTTAATCTCTCTCCTTGTTGGCAGCATTTGGTAGCTCTCCCACTCTGTTGCGTACCTTTGGTTTTCCTCTTTCTACTAAATGCACTTACAGGACAACAGGAAAATACTTTTGTTAATGCATGACCTCTTATAAAATGAGGGCATAACCTCTTCCTCCAGCTGCCTTGTTACAAGTAATTAGCAAACCTCCTCATTGTGCTTTTCTCTTTCGCTTGGAGCTTTGATGCAGTTCTTTCAGTGACTCAGTGTGTAGGCTTTTGTAAATCCTGTTTTTTTGTGCACCTCAATTTTCTCCATACATTGAATATAAAGGAGCTGAAGAGGACTGCTAAGAATTGTGAATTTTACTAGGTAGATTGAACACTTGCAGATAGGCATAAAGCCTGATGTAAGTCTATATATATTAACAATGCATGCTTGATGTAGTTAGGTTTCTGTTAGCTGACACTGTTCAATAGCTCAGTTGGTTCGTTCAGCTACCAAAGGTTTGTGGTTTCATAAAAGATGCATAGACCCAGCAGTTTAAAACAGAAGTCTCAGAAGACCAATATATTTAACTCAGGATTGCTGAATGCAACAGCACCTGAAGTCAGGCAAAATAAATTCAGGAAGCCTCTCAAGTAATCAAACAACAATGGAAACAGGCATCTAGAAGATTCAGAATGATAAGCAGCAAATTCCTTGGGAGCTGATAGATACATAAATCAGGACTTAGTTTTGACCTCATATGTGGCAGCCAGAAGACTAGGGCTTGTTTTTGGAACTTCTGATCAAGATTCTTCTCAAGAAACATAAATTTCAGACTCATACCTGTTGAGAGGACTGTAGTCTCTGTTTTTCCTTCTGCCACTGTTGAAATCTGTCAAGGGTTTCATACACAGAAGTTGTTCCGTTTTCCACCTGTTCCTGCAAGTGGATGAGTTCTTCCTGTTCAGTAGGGATGCTGTGTTGCACAGTACTATCAGTTACTGCGTCAGCATGACCTCTGTGTGCTACACAGTGCAGTAAAGGTAAAAGTAGAAAATATTAGCTCATTTCATTCCTTTATGATGCAATCACTTTTTTCTAAGGCATGCAAAGAGTAATTCTCTAATCTGACATCAATTAAAACCACACTGTCTTTAGAGTGCCCCTCCCCTTTCTTCTTTCTGTTTGGTTGTAAGGTTTTTTGGGAGGGGGTTGTTTTTTTCCTCTTCCAATGAGAGAAATGCAACAAATCAATAAGGATTCTACCATTACTCCTTAGTAGCAGAGTAGCATCTTAAACATTTCATTTATTACTATTGCCCTGACCCATGGATTCTCTACTAGTATCAGTTCATACAAGAATTTTTCTAACACTAAAACTGTAGTACTGACATTTTAAAGGCAATTGTTGCTCTGTTAAGACAAAAAATATTCACAGTGCCTTTTTACCCTTCCTTCTTCAACTTCACACATTACATCTCTCAAAAGCTGGGGCTGAAATCTGGCCAGAAAGCATTTTGGAATTTCACATGATTTCCTTCCCCCACGTCATTAAATACCTTGCAGTGACAAGGAAACACAACAACCTGGTCCTCCTATAGGTTATGACACAGGTGCACAGCCAAAGGGAAATGACAAGGAGACATGTTACCACAGCTTGGTCCAGGGAGGTGCAGCACCACATGTCTCCGTGATACTGATACTGAAATGACCCATCCAGAACAAGTGAGAAGCTGTGAAATAGGGCTCTGCCAGCCCTGTATGAGGCTGGTGCAAAGCACCTGTTTCACTGCACAGCGAATGCAACCAGGATTAAACTATAAGTATGACCTGCGTCAATCCTTCTGCTGTGTCATGCACCAATATATACTTTAAGTGAGGAAGGACTATGAGAAGGGAAATACACTAAAGAAGTAAACAACCACCTACTGTAGTTTCTCCTGCTCCTTCCTTTTGATCATACTAGCACATGTTAGGCATGAATCTCTACTCTTTTGCATCTCAGCTAGTTGATTCTATTTTGACACACTAATGACCCTAATGCCTTGCATCTGATATGATTATTTGGAGATCAGACCAGCTTAGGTAAAATTGCTTTTTTTTTCATAACAGAAAAAGGTGTGTGGGTGTATTTCTTCAGACCCATAAAAATTACTCTGTTTATCATGGAACCATAGAATGGCTTGTGTTGAAAGGGACTTGTAAAAGCCATTTAAAGCTTAAAGCCATTCCCCCTTGTTCTATCTCTACTTGCCCTTGCAAAAAGTCCCTCTCCAGATTTCTTGTAGGCCCCCTTTAGGCACTGGAAGCTGCTCTAAGGTCTCCCCTGAGCCTTCTCTTCTTGCTGAACAAGCCCAGCTCTCTCAGCCTGTCTTCACAGGAGAGGTGCTCCAGCCTTCTGATCACCTTTGTGGCCCTCCTCTGAACTCACTCCAACAGGTCCACATCTTTCTTATGTTGAGAGTCCCAGAGGTGGAGACAATAGTCCAGATGGGGTCTTACCAGAGCAAAGGGGCAAAATTGTCTCTCTTGACCTGCTGCTTACAGTTCTTTTCTATCTGCTCTATCATAAAAGGTCACTATGCTGGTTTGCAGACTTATGCTACCAGTACTCCAACACAGTAAGCTCTAGAAAGTCCTGTATTCTTTTCCTAAGAGGTTTAGCATTCACAAAAACTAATGTCAGTAGCACTGGAGACTGCAGTTCCCAGCTGCAGAAATAAATAGGTGATTATGTGCTGCTCTATATGCCTTAATCCTGACCTGATGCTTGTTAACACAAGATAGAGGAAAAAACTTCACTCGGTGTTCAATAATTTTGTATATAACATTGTTGATTATTTTAGGGCACCATTAATGGAATTTAAGGTAGCAACATTTTGATGTGCTACAACTCAAATAACTGGAGTGCAATAAGTGATCCATTTTACATGGATCTTGAGGTACCCAGGAGAGAACTGCTCCTCCCCACTCTGCTGCATTTCCCTGGCTGGCATTAGCACATGGCTGAGCCCTCCTGTCTGTCCTTTTCTTGGTTTTAATCACAATGGAGAAAGGAAACAGAAAAGCATAAAGTAACTCTGACTACAAATCTTTCCCACAAGAATGTAACTTATGTTTTTCTTTCTTCAATCTGATCTCTTAATGCTGTGATACCATTAAGGAGACAAATCCTATGTGGGAAAAGAGATGTTAGATCACTCAAAATGAAGTCACAGAAAATCTCTACTAGTCCTGCTGAAAAGCATCAAGGCGGTGAAAGAGCTAAATTAAATTCTGTACCGGGCTTCCTGGCATTGCAGTACGTTCCGTTGCTGTCACTGGGCACTCGAGTGGCCTTTTGCTGAAACACTACAAAATTATCAAGATAAGGAAACTGGTGAAAAATGCAGTAAAACCATCAGACATTCTGAGTGAAGGAAGGAGGCTCATGAAAGCAGGCTGGAACAAATTTTGTGTTCTAGCTGAGGAGTACTTCTCAACCCACTTATCAGGCTAATGTTAATTACTTGAAAAACTGTTCTGTTGCACAGAATGGCAGGATTACTGATAGTACAGATAGCATAACAAGAAGCTTTGAAGAAAATAGAATAGACTTATCACATTAACATATTACTTGTTTAGCAAAACCAGCTAGATCTCAGGAGTTTTTCACATGGAACAAACACCAACTGTAGCTTGTTCCTTATTTCATGAGGAAAGCTTAGGCAGGTAAATACAACAGTACTATGAGAATAATGACTCTGCTTAAGAAAGAGTATATGTATATTTTTGTCTACTGTATTCAGGCACTGGGAAAAGCAAAGCATGATCACTTACTCCATCAGCGTAGCCCATCATCCACCCCAGAGTCCTGGCATCTTGTTTCTGCTGCCTGGGCAAACCCAGTGATGCTGGTTTGCTCCTTGTCTGCCTGCTCCAGCTGCCTTGTACAAAACGTCTGCTTCTCTCAGGGAAACTTGTGAAAGGGGTCAACAAGATCTCTGTGACATCTAAACTCAGTGCATGCTATATGCAGAGGTGAGGAAGGAGCAATTCCTAAGGGTGTACTTCCTACACTGCAAAATAAAGTATTTACACTAACTCCTGAGAAGGCTTGTATGGAAGGTGATGATGAATGAAAACAGCTGGGACTTGGTGTTCTTAAAACGTTCTCAGGCTAAATAGTGAGAGTGAAAGAACTACACAGGCAGCGCAATCTGCTGATGTTACGCCCTTATCTTCAGCCTAACACTAGTAGATTTCAACTTTTGTAACAGTCCTCTCGGTAACTCTCAAAGAATCCTGCTATATACGGTTGCAGTGTTTTCTTCTATACTTGGAATAGCAACCTCTTTCTGAAGAAGAAATTCAAGTAACCGCAACACAGAGGTAATGCAGGCAGCCTGCATTTTACTGCATAAGGAGGAGAAGGGATATACTCAAGTGTCCCTGCAATTGGAAAGCACTTTAATCGATAGGCTTTGAAATTTCTGCTGAGTTTTGCAGTGCTGGAGTAATCAGAAATGGAATTACTCTGCTAGCTCAAAGTGAAATTGTTAAAACCACTTTACACGCCACATCTTGCTGAAATGATTTTAGCTGGCAGCAAGTATTCAGTGTGGGTGAGGTCAGTGAAAACAAATTCCTGTTTTTGGAATGCCTGGAAAGACATCTGCAGATAGCACTGCACAACTGCTGCAGGTTTAGGGAAGACTCCAGAAATTTACTCTTTCATTCCCACTTTCTAATTACTTACGAGCTGCTTGGATACAGTAGTTGAATGAAAGAAACAGGTAATCTTGCACAGGGATATATTCCATTATTTCTTAGGAAGATAAAGTGAATGCTCCTTTAGCAAAGAGATATTAATATAGCAATTTTTTCAAGTGTCAGAATGCCAGAGTCCTTCAGCTGACAAGAGATACGTTTTTATATTTTCAGAGACTCTGCCATAAATAATCTGATTAAATGGTTGCAGTACTTCTATTCTGCTTTTTTACTTAATGTACACCCTTCAATAATATCTGCATGATGAGAAAGAGTCCTTCTGAATTTTTAATCTCATTGTGACTGGCCAAAGTACCCATGGATGCCTGTAATTAAAAATCTGGAAATTAAACATCCTGACCTGATAATATGCAATACAATTTTTGTCTATGACGTATCTTCTCACTCAGTTTCTCAGAATTAAAAGAGGCTGAGAGAACTAATAAGTAATTCCACTTTATTCCCTTTTGTTTCTTCAGTTGCTACAGGACACAGAAGAAGATCTTTTCATGCCCTACATACATTTTTATTTCTTAGGTAGTAAGACTGCACTTTAGGAATAAAATGTAACCTCAATATTTCTCTAGGAAAGCAAACTCAAAGAGTAAGAACTACTGCAGTATTTTCTAGTAGGACATGAAAACAGAAAACAACATTTAAAATGCATGACAAAACACAATTTTTGTGGCAAATATGCAAAACTGGGAAAATCTCTAACATCAGGCTTGGAAAGCGAGTGGGATTCAAGGAACTCTGAATTGTTTTCTTTATCTCAATCAGATTAGCTACAGATGTTGTTTGAGGTTGTCTACACATGCAGGTAAATAATGATATGAGCCTAAAAATGTGGTTAGTATTTTCATGGTTATGTCTACAAATAGAAGGGATAGAAACATCTGAAAGCCTGTTGTGTATAATTCTGTACCACGAAAAGCATTCTGCAGTCACACACTGCAAGAAACTGGTGAGTAAAAGAGTCTAGAAAGAAAGATATTTTTTACAATAGCTGGAGGTTGACAAAAAGAACGGGAATTTGATTTTCCAAATGAATTGAGGTTCTACCTCAAAGCCTTAATGGTAAGGAACCATAGGCCCACTATGATATTTCAAAAATTTCTTAGTGATAGGGCAGTAAGAAGTGATATAATTAGAAACAGAGGCAACAAAAACACTCGAAGAGTTACATTATGGGAGAGGACACCTCATATCAGGAGGCAATGATCAACCACGATACGGTTTCTAATTTACATTTTACTTTACCCATCTAAACTATGAGGGATGTTGCCTAATTTGCTGCATTAGCAACATTACCGCTAAAAATCAAACCATAGTTTGCCACTATACACTAGTGATTCAAATAAAGCCAGACTGATTGACCTACCCTCTGGAAGATATGTGAACTGATCATACCTAATACTTCCCTACTTACACAACACTTTCAGCAGAACAAACACAAAGGAAAAAAAGGCCCAGACACCCCCAATCAATAAATATCACTAATTTGAACCCCATTTGCTTAGGGAAATTCACTATGTATTTATTCATTAGCTTCATTGATCTGATATTCCAAACAAAATTATCTATCACCATGACTGTTTTATTTAGGAAACATTCAAAATTAAAATCCAGGGGAACAAAGTCTTTATAGGAACACAAGGCTAAGTGATAATGCAAATTAATTAATACACTGGGGCTGCACTTATTAACACATCTCAACTCAGTTGCAAATTACAGTGAGTTTGTAAGCTTCCTCCTTGTTCTTAGCAGGTTTCTGCTTCATTCATTTTAGAATTGTCACACAATTAACTCATGATTAATGGAAGAATGGAAGAGGGAGGAACTGCTAGTTGGGATATGTTGCAGGGAGAGACTCCTATCTTTGCCTGCTCCATTTTTTTCCTCATTATTTAAACATTTTTAACATTTCAACTGTGTGTGCACAGTACCTAGGCAAATAAAACTTGTAAGTTCTTTTTCTGGCACGGATTAGACTGTAAATTAGATGTAGCACAGCAAGGGATGACAAATACACAGAGAATACTAAGGAAGGAATATAGTAGAACAATGCTTATTATTCAAGAGATGAGAACTCTGCAGATGCTTGTTCACATCTTTTTAGAACTCACTTTATTTTCGTCCGTTTTGTTTGCTAACACACTGAGCATCACTCAGCATGAGGACTAGACAGAGGTCATTGGTGCAATGCTAATCAGTAAGTTTTGTGAGAGATGATTAAGGACCACTCCTAAAATCTATACAAAGTATTTCACAATCTTAAGATTCAAGCCCCAGAAGCCATCCTGTCATGACAGCAAAGGTGTCTGATTGCACTTACACTGTCACAAGACAAGAGGAAAAAGAATGTCCAGCTTTAACTGTATTGGTATGAGAAAACCAGTGACCACGTATAAACTGGTACAGAAGCACTCACTTGTTCTAAACATGCTGCCTGACACTCAAGACATTTATGAGAACACACAACAGGATCTTCATCAGAATGAAGACCAGGTGGTGTCAAAAATGAACTTGCAGAAACACCAAACTGTGATGCTGCTCTGTTATTTGCAGTGGCTCAATGCATGCTGCTTGAGTTTTTCACCTGCAGCATCCTGTCCACCCATCACAATTTATAAAGGCTGTTGTCAGCCTCTACCTTCCACAGCCACATAATTAGTTGAGATTGAAAAACCCCATTTTCTCAGACCAAAAGTAAAATGGCTTTAAAAAGGAATCACAGTGTAATGACAATGTGCAAACATTAACCCAAAAATAAATAAGCAATTCTCTTCCCAATTTGCAGCGTGACTCTGAGTCTGTCAAATGAGAGCTCAAATCTGTTAGAATCCCAGTTGGGGAGGGACCACAAGAGATGACTTCACTTCACTGAGGCAAGATAACGAAATACCGGACCCCCTTCTGAGAGAAGGGATAAATGAATAAGAAGAATAGGTGCTGGTGCAATATGCCAATCAGAAGGCAGTGTTGAAGTACTTGCTGTACCAAACACAATGAAAAGAACTCTCCCACTGTGGCTCTTGGCAGAGAGTTAATGTAGGGGATCATGGAAGTTGGAAGGACTCAAGAGATATACTCAAGAATATTTGCTCCAGAGTGTACAAACTGAATACTTCTGTAGTCCTATTTTTCTTCAGTAAAGGAAAAAAGGGGTAGACTATGTCTGGTTTTACCAGAAATATGCTATTTAGAACAGCCTTTCAACAAGGCAGCAACTATAAATATTTTCTCTCCGTGCACCTTATTCAGTACATGTTTCAATCCACCGAAGTTAAGATAGCAAAAAATACGCTTGAATGAACATAGCAGATGAAGCCAGTACATCACTTCCCAGACAGGTCTGTAAAAACAGTCTAAGTGCTCTGAGACAGCTGAACAGTGGTGCCTAGTATTTTATTCATGGAAAAGCACCCTTAAGTTTGGGATATGTAATGAAACTCATCTGCAGTGCAGTACTTTATACTCACTGTAGGAAAGAACTAAAACATCCCTCTGTGGAACATAAATGTTTTGCAGTCTGCATGGGCTCTGAGGCTTCACTTTGGAACCCCTGCTTTAGAGCATTTAAACAATCTACACATTATGAATTACTAACTCAGGATGCAATGACTGTAATTCCCAGTAATGAACCCGTAAGTTTCCAACAGTTTTGGTCTGGATGTTTTTTCCTTTCATTTGGGTTTACATTGTCTATTCTGTACATGAGATATTCTGCCTCCATAAAAATATCCACTGGCTGCTACTTTTCCTGCATAACCTGTGATTTTGATGAGCAATGAGAATGCTATTCTCTTCTGGGATAGCAACTGGGAAATGTATTTTTCCCCTTCTAACTTTTAACCCTGGTGCGCAGTCCCACAGCTACCTTTAACCAGTAAAATGTTTCCAGTGCACAGAGGGGAAATACGTTCCTTCATGCAAAGGAACAAAGGCTGTAGGCATATAAAATTTTTTTTATGTTGGTGTAGGATAGGTGTCCTTGCTGCAGAGAGGTGGTCTCTGATAAGAGGTAAATGACTGAACTAGGACAGTAATCTTCAAGCCCTCAGGCAGTCCTGGTAGGTCAAACTTCAAGAGTGGTAGGAAGGCATGACAGAAACTCATGCACCTGCCCTAATAATACACAGAGGACTTTGTTTTCCAGCTCCGTCAGATCTGGTATCAATAGGGAACATAAAATCACACTGTAAACTGAAAACACAACACCTTCATACATTTATTTAACAGTTGTTTTGGCAGCATGCTACCGAAAAAAACCACCAAAATAACCTACAAAGGAATACTAAGCACTTGAGGAATGGAAAGGGAGCACACTAAGAGTGCACACCATCTGGACAAGAAAGCTATCTGGCACCAATTTGTGGCTCCATCAGTTGATGAGCCTTTCACACTGAAGGCAGAATTCTTGCAGTGGTCTAAATTAAAGAACAAATGTACTCCCTGTTTGTTAAAGATGCAGTACGCTTAGCAGTATTCAATACAGTAGTTAGCACATTCATTAAAATTTGAAAACAGAATAAATGAAACTGAGTAAAAGCAATCTGAACACTTATGTTTTCAATCTATCTACTCACTCATGTTTCCCAGGGTTTGCCAGCAAATTCAGCTCAGATGCTCAAACTGCAAATTGCATAGTTTAGTTACGACACCTTGCATCACTAAGAGCTTGCTGCCTAGGTTTGGAAGTGTTGATCTTGATCTAAGATTCTAAAAATGGGCTTGTCATGTTCTGTTTTCTCTAGAGCAAGAGTACCGATAACCTGTCCTTCAAAGCACCAAGGGGTAATCTATAGGGAGCAGGCTTTCTGTCTAGTGTAACCTTGAGCTTGTATTTGAAGGCTACTTATCATAGAGGGCTATTTGCTCACTTTGTTGCTATTTTCAGGAAACACCACCACTTTTGCTTAAAGGGGAAGATACTCTTTTGTAACTTCATTGGCTCCAATGTGTGGTGAAAACCCTCATGAGGATTCAGCCACCTGATTTGTTCTGATGAATTCAGAGTATAAATTAAAAAGGAGACATCAGCATGCAACCCAAGAGGCAAAAGGCATTGCATAGCTTTGTTTTGCCAATAAACAAGCCCAAAATTTTCTATCACCTCTGTGGGTACAGAAGGCGTAAAAAGAAATCCTCCTCTTGCACCTCTGCATACACTGTCACAACAGGCCCTGCAGTCCTTTCCTTCCCAGAGTACAGAGGGATCCGTTCAGCTGTGGGTGACTGTGACTTAATGTGGCCCTCTGATGTGTATCACACTTTGTTCTCTAATCCCGTTTTCCCCATAGAACTTGTGTCTAACTGAACACCAGAAGGGAATGGCTCTGAAGATAACCAGAACTGTGCGGTGAAGACAATGTGTTTCTTACAGAAGTATTATTCAGCATGTTTTATAAGTTAAAAGGTATTTAGTCAATGGAGAGAGAACACAGTGGAGGGAAGGATGCCTCAGTTAAGTATCTAAAAGCTGCTCTGTGGAACAGGACTCCTCTCTCCAACCAAGCCCCAGTGTAACCCCAGACAAGTCATTTCAGCCAGCAATCAGGCTTGTGAATCCCTGACATTAAGAGTGCTGGCTAGTCACACTAATAATTTAATATGAACTTCTGAACACTCATAGTGGCTACTGCAATCACTGGGATCTCTGCTTTGAATATTATATAAGGCTGTTAATCTCAAAAATGGCATCTCAGTTATTTCATATTGGGCATCCAAAACCTCAGTGGATCCAGAACAAATCAAAGGGTTTATTGCAGGAAGGTCTGAAAGAACACAGTGTTTCAGGAAGGCACGAACTATATTTTAAACAAAAATGGGAACGAAAAACGCTGAAAAGTTCTGCGTCTTACACTTGCTCACTTTAACAGCTAGATGAAACAAAATAGCTGTGATATATAGCAGTACACGGCTGTATATTTACCAACTGTACTGAATGTTTGTGGCAGGGAGAAAGAAATAAGCAGCAAAATTACCTTGATTCTAACTTCTCGATTATTTAAACTGGCAACGTTTGCAACGGTCTTTATAACATAATATATGAAAACAAACCGTGAAACTATGAATTTATTTGAGGGATGAAAAAGGTATATATACCCTAGTCAGAGTAATTTTATTTTACACTGATTAGACTAAATCATAAAGCAATGGCTACAAACATATGGAGATTTTAATGATGGACCACAACAAATTTTTCTTGTTTTTACAGTCAAAACAATCAATTTTTTATGATTATAAGCAGTTTTCATATAATAAACTGGTAACTGGGATATTGCTGGACTGGATAAAGAATTTTTTAACCAGTGTGGACAAGGACAAAACCTGCCAAACCAAGTTGCAAGAAAAAACAGCTGAAGATGTATCACTTCTGTCCTAAATTTCACTATCTCAGGAATCCCTGAACAAAACAGGAGAATAAGAAACTCCAGACTTGGATCTAGCAGGATGGCCAGCAATACAAGAAGCTGAAGTGGTCAGCTGAAGATTTCTTAAAGTGCTGCCACCTATACTTCTTGTATCACTAAGTAAACTTGAGCCAGAGGCTGATTCCACAGAACGACAGGAAACTAATTTGTCTATTTTTCTACCACTACCTGTTATAAAAGCAAAGCTAAAAACCGTGGAGGTGCGTGTGTGTGTGTATATATATATATAAAAATACATGATATAGAAGAACCACAGACCCATCAAAGCAGTTCCTCAGTCTCTTCCTTAGTGAATAGTTAGACAAAGTGAAAAACTATAGTGCAATAACAGACAATAAAAGTAATCTCCCAAATAAAGCATCTTCACAGTAAATGTTTTCACGTCACTAGCCTGTCTATGATGATGGAGGACGAAGACTTGAAACACAGCACTAGTAATCTCAGTAAAAGCAGCCATTTCAGGACTTCTGCAGGTGTAACAGGCCCCCTACACATTCGTGCTTGAATTACCCTTTAACTACTGTAATGATTCATCCTTGTACCTCCTGAACGTGCTGAAGAAAGAGCAACTAAATGATAAATGTGTTAGCCCACACATTCTGGCCCTCACCTGGAGTTACATAGCCTGGAGGAGGAGAGCTAGCTAAGAAGAATAAAATAAATCACTGACTGAAATAGGCATGAAAAAGGAGGTGCTCTTTTGTATTTGGTAGGATGATCTAGGTAGTAAAAATCCTGTTTTAGTGCAGAACACTCACTGGATGGAGTAGGCAATCTACTGGTAACCTTTGTCAGCCTGGTTTTCTACCATTTATTCTTATGCATAGCCAGCTTTCTGTAGAGGGAGCTGGTAATGCAGGGAGTATGTACTGTGGGGCTGAGAGGTCTATCTCTGCAGCAGGTCTGAACTGAACTGCAGGATACCCAAGATCTCTTCCAGCTTTAAATTTCCATGTATAAGCTCCAAAAGGTCCCCTGTTTTTTTACAGAAATGGTAAAAGGACATAATCCTTCCTCAGAGGCCATTTCTAGCATCTTGCATTAGAGAAAGGAGATTTGAAAGAGGAGCTCTCCCACAGGCCTTTCTCCTTACTGTTCTCATCAGGAAAATTAAAAAAAAAAAAAATTATACATCTCTAAAATTTCTCTCTTAGAATTAAGAACATTTTGACAAAGAAACTAAAAGCAAAGGCAATTCAAATAGCACATTTTATATTGCACTATTAAAACTGACATGCTCCCAGCTAGCCCAGTGATTCTTATTTATTCATCATATGGCCATAGGTTTTTTAAATGTAAACAAAAATAATGATGCTATCTGAGATGCAAATTGAAAATTAACGTTAGTCTGAGATGTTCTCCACTCATTTCGAAGGAGAGAGTAGGTTGAGTGAATCAATTTATTTGCTGGTTTGAAAGTAACTGAACAAATCTTTTAAACACTCATCAAATAGAAGAGACAAGTCTATATTCTAACAGCAAATATTTACAAAGCAACACACAAACCTTGCATTATATAGGGAGCATTCTCCTCTCTGACTGGTGAATATACTGGACGAGGGGCAGGGGCTGGTGGCCTGTTCACGATAAAAGACTTGACCTCAACTGGTATGAAATCATACACAGATTCATCCAGTGTCCTGAAAGTGTACAGGTCTTCCCCCCCACTGTCTCTCTCGCATGTATCTTCTTTGTAGCATGCTGTTATAAGTCTATCACCATGTTGTCTTTCACTTCCGTCCTCCACAGACTTCCTCTCTGAAAAAGTGAGGACTTGTGTTCCACATATACAGTACAGAAAGGAGATCAGGACTTAACTTACAGCTTTAGAGTTTCCTAAAGTAACTTGAGACTTAATTTCACCTCTAAAGCGCTCTGATTTTCAGAGGCTTCTGATCATCTAAATCAGTAGAAAGGATGACCCAGAAGAATAATTCCAACCTCAGAGCACCCTCATGATTTCACATCAGATTATCAAAACCAGATTCTTAGCTATTAGCTCAAAGTAAATGGGCTTATTTAAAAGAAATGTTGAGTGCCCCAGGTGCTCCCACCAGAGTCACACAAATATGTGCTTTAATGGTGAAGCCAAGTAAGTGGTACCTGTGGCCCTCGGCATTCTGGAGTCAGGCTATTTGTTAACTGCTGCAACAATGACTTCAGAATTGAAAGTTATTCTAGAAAACGCTGGGGTTTGTCTTTCCTACGTCTTAAGTGTCCCACATGGTTTTGAGGGTTTTACTAAGATGGAGTGCAAGACAAGGTGAAAAAAAGTTTAAAGAGCCCCATACAGGGCAGATGAAATTTATGACCTCTTATAACCGATGCTAAGACTATCCCCCCCACCAGTAACTTCTCTGACTCTCTGTACTTCCTACATTTCATGTATTTCATAGTATAACTGCTCAGTACTTGCATTCCTTTCACATTTTACTGCATTAAAAGGAATCAAGTTTCCCAATACTTGAGTTTGTTTTGATTTGTCTTTAAAACCCCCAAATCTGTGAAGAGTTAGAAACTATAACTGCGGCTGGTGTTCCCATAGATGTTTGTAACTTTCTTGTGCTGATTACCCATCTCTCCTGCAAAAACAGGAGCCTGGAATTCTTGCACTGAGTTATGTTTTCCTCATGTTGTAATCTACTGCCTGTGCATGTGTATCTGCTAAACTAGGCCGTGGTCACTACTAGGGTTTTCAATCCTTTGGCTGCTATTAAAAGAATTGCTTTGTCTGTTTATGAATCATAGAACCCCACAGAGAGTCCCTTCCATAGGCTGGAAGGGACCTCAGGGATCATCTGATCCAACCTTTCTTGACAAAGCATGACCTTGACTAGATGTCCCAGTATCCTGTCCTGCCCAATCTTATACGTGCCCAATGGTGGGGAGTCCACCACTTAATTCCCTGGGGAGGTTATTATGGGTTCAGAGGAACCAAACAGTCTTTGTAAGTGGGATATATTTATAAATGGGATGTGTTATTAATACGTCCAATCAACATGCATTCTGGTTAAGTCATAAAAACGTTTTAAAGCAGCAAATGGGATTAATACACCTGCCATATTTAATATGAAAAATATTCTGTTTCCATGTCACTATGGAAATTCTGTTCCTTGCTCTGCAGGATCCTCTTTCTTTTAACTCCCACATGGGGCACTGTCGTGTCACTGCCAAAACACAGGCTTCAGGAAGAGGTGACTTGCCTTTAGGTATTCCACGGCAACACTGAAAGCAGGTGGCCGATAAAACTAGGTAGCAATGACACATTAGAGCTCCCCCTTGAAAGCAAGCCTCATCCTTGTTTAGAGGAATTCTCATACCCTCCCCACCTTGCTCCCCAATGGTGAAACCAAGGCTAATGCTTCAGAAAGCTTCACAACATGTTTTAAACAAACTATTCATACAGGAGTGTTTTTAGACAAACTCTGCCTTACCAACTGCACTCAGCACAGGACATTACGTAGCCAAGAAGCTCTCTTAAGCTGGTACTCACATACAGATAGACAGCATTCGGCAGAGGGTCACATTACTTGATGGTAGAGCTATGAGAACTATTCCAAGACAGACATTTATTTCAAACCTACACTACCAAATCCTATATGCCAAACCTGAACCTTCATTTATGCACACATATAGCTGCAGTTGAGTATTTCATGGGAAGCAAAACACATCTTTAAAATTAATTTTATTCTTTCTTTCAGAATCCACCTATGACTTCCAGCTTTTTCTTTCACAGAGAAAACAGGACAAAACCCTACCTATAACAGACTGTAAGGCTAGAAAGCTATTTCTATCTACTTATGCGAACTTGGATGACTTCAGTGTGCTTGGTGATAGTAATTTAAGACTCTCTTAGGTTGTGCCACATTTAAAAACAGAGTTAACAGTAATAAGCAGTGGAGAAACTGAGAAGCAATTTGTGTGTGCACTTACCAGTAGTATCCAGGACAAATAAGAAGGGTTTATTTTCCCCTATGTGACTATTTAACACTGGTATTTAAGCTTGACTTCTTTTGCATACTTATTTTCCCAATGAGTAAAAAATGATAATCATCCCCTCTGAAAGAGAGGCAAATAGTATTTTGGGCTTCTCATCAGTTGAATCAAAATACAACACAATTTCAGGTTTTTACTCTGGGGCAGAAGGATGAAAAGAAAAAAGGGGGAAAAAAAAGAAGGCAAAGCATTTCATTGCAGGTCATAATTTCTCCCTCTCTTTTCAATCTGCAGCACAATATGGCTTTTTATTTATAACCACAACATTGGCTAAAATGTAACATACTGTTACTTCTCTATGCACACTAGCTTTAATTCTACCTGTGAAATTCCAAGCTGTATTAAATCAAGGTAGAATTTAATATCTTAAAATGGTAAATATTTAACTTGACAAAAATACAACCCGAATAGTTTGTTTCAGGCTACTTTGGAAAACCAGTGCATCATGTACGATATAGCAGCTCTCTGAGATGGGCAGAGTGAGGAAAACCTAAAACCTGAACCCAGCAGTGCATACTCCAGTATCAGCTGAGATGCCTGGTCATGAATATCTTGGTGCAGGAAAGCCCGTATGCACTTGCTTGCTTTGCAGAACTAGGCCTGTATTGCCTAGCCACTGCTATTAGAAGTAACCATACATAACCTCTACAGCAGCACCTAGCCTGCATTTGCACATGTTTGTGCCTGGGGTTATTTTCTTCCCAAGGTTGTACCTTTTGATAAATCATTCTGTCTTAGGATGCCAGGCAGGTTTTGAGGGGGAGGAGGAGGTGGCCCCGTACAAAAAAAGCAGTTTCTTCTCTTCTCTTTGAGAACATCAGGTATGCCGGCATACAAATTGTCAGGACGGTTGTGAAAGCTGTATGAATCTTCTTGATCTTCATGTTCTGTCTCTCTGCTGTCTTCCATATCATCTTTCTTTTCCTCACCCACCTCAGCCTCTTGTTGGCATCTTGAACCAATTCCATATTGATCTCCTGGGTTCTGCTTGGCTTTTAATGCTAAAGAATGCATTATTTCATTTAAAATTTGCCATCGGGAAACATTTCCTGTTTCAAGGATTCCACAAAAGCAACACAATTGCTAATAAAACTTTTATGAAATGATACCATAGGAAAGCTGTCAAATACATAGTGTCAGTGAACAGCTTTTTAAATATGTACCAAATCAACAGTGGAAGTTTTTGTTGTATCTTGCTATTCTGACACACACCATCTTCGTGCATGTAGTGTTAAACTTCTCTAGAGCTGCTGTCAGTCTGAAATCACACACACTTAACTTGCTTCCATAATATACTTGACTTTCAATGCAGCACAGTGCCACACTTAGTAAAACAAAGCTGTAGCTCACACAGCTGTGTAACTTGTTTTTATACAAGTGCTTATTTAAATCTCTCTAAAATTAAATAAACATTGCCCTGGGAGACATGGCTGTACTCCTGTGTAAATGGAGCTCTTGCGTCTTTAGTGGCCCATGGACCACAGAATAAGAACATAGCGTATGGATGGGAAAAGTTACATGAACAAAAGCACCAAGATTTGGATAGTCAGCCTCAGTAACATAAAGTCCGCCACCAAACTTACAGTAAATGCAGAGCAAGTAATACCAACCCTTGATGCAGGTTTCCATTCTGATTTATCTTTTGGTGATGCCTTTCCTTCAGCACTGATTCAAATGGGAGGTTAGAGTATTTAGCTGGCTAACACAGTCAGCTGTTACAATCTGTGGTGGTCTTCCCTGTGCTCACCCTGAGGTGTTCCCATAGAAAGCCTGACAGAGGCAGTGAAAATGTATCAGGGCTAAAGCAACAAGTTTAAACTCACCAAATAAGAAATAACCTTTTTATATAGAATGTGAGACATTGTTAACAAGCAGATAAGATAGAAACAGGATAAAGTTTATCTTTATGATCCATGATATCATAAAACATACGCAAAATACACAGCATCAGTAAATGCAAAAATGCAATTTCATTTGCAATCTTCAAGGGGAATTCATATGACCACACAGATTGTTAATAAGCTTCTAATCAATTTATGCTTAGATGTATGAACATCACACTGCAAAATGTGCCTCCACATAGGTGCTTGGTGCACCTGTGGGCAGTGCCTCCCCTCTCTGAGAACTCGGAGAATTCAGTTCTTTTCTACATGCAGAGATCACAGATCTCCAGAATCCACACGGAGGGGTGGTGGCTGCACTGAGGTCTAACTGAGCAATGACTTTGTTACCATGACTGAATCCCTCACCTTTCTTCTCCCTTCTCCTAGGACATCTGCACTCTCTGGAAGCTGCAGTAACATGTGGAAATGGAAAGTAATGTGCCCCCTCTGTTTGTCCATAATCCCACTCATTTAATACAGTGCATGCTTTGCTATTGATAAAGCAGTCTAACAACATGACTTACTCATGGCAGGTTGAGTTTCTGAGCCTAGCATAACCACGTAAGTGTCATCATCTTCTGCTTCCACCTTGCAATTGGTGAAATTGTCTGCTGTATTAATCTAGAAAGAAAAACAAAGGAGAACATTTGCTTTGATCTCATCATCTCCTATCTTCACACCCTGCAGGACCCACTGCAAACAGTTCCCGTACCCTTGTGGTTGGTACCAAAACCTGCATGTGCACTGAAAAACCAGAAAAGGGACTGCAAAGTATGGTAGTGGTTCTACCTCAGTACCCCATAGTGGCAAAGCATTGGGTTTTGCTCACCTAGAAACGTTTTTAGGTTCACACAGGGCTATTTTAAATCAGCCTAGTGAGGGTCAGAACACTTGGTTCTCTACAATGTTACCAAGTTATTTCTTCAAGCAGAAGAGGAACAAACTTCTGCTCACTCCTGGCTCCTAAGAGCAAACTTGTAACATACATAGGTACAGACAGTTCTGCCGTCTTGAAATACGTATCACACACTTGTCAACTGCTGATTTTCAGAAAGAACTGGCATTTCAAAAGGTACCTTTTTTTTCCAAAGAACTCAGCAGGCACTTCATTCCCATGTAAGGGTAATATTAAACACTCCTGCATAGGCACAATGGAGCCCTCAATAATTGTTCAGGAATTTTGAATGACAAAATGTCAGGTCTGGGAGTCTGAATACACCACCCCAAAGCAGGCAGGGAAACGCAGTATGTATCATCCAGTCTGCAAGATTAATTACAAGCAGATTAGTGGACAGTGAAGTCAAGAGGAAGAACTGAGACCCTTCTGCATGCACAGAAACTGACTCCTATGAGCTCATGCCATACTTGACGTTCATTCCTAGTATCCTGCTGCCTCCTGGGACACAGCACCACTGTCTGAGTCACAGAGTTCACATTGTGTGAAAGGGGAAAACATTTGGAGAAATGGTGGTGTTTTCTGGGGAACCAAAAATGCCTACTTCCCTGCGGTTTCTGTACACAGCCACCTCATGAATACTGGTCTTCAAGGCATCGCAGCCACTGACATCCCCCTGACCCACTTTGTTTTGCTGCTTTAAGAAGGTACCTGGATTTCTACATATCTATACCTGCCTCCAACAATGAAGTATTAATTTCTGTCTTCTATGCCCATATAATGTGCACATCAGAGACTCTTGTTTTGCTTGTACTTCTTCATCATTTCTCTGGTTCCTCTGTACCTCACAGATGTAGGATACCTTTTAACAGCCTTGAAGTTAGAGCTTTCCAGAATATTTATTTTCAAAAGATTTAGGCCTGCATGTGCTAAATGTAACTGCACAGTTGGGAGAAAAAAGGGTTTCATGAAAAGTTATGTATTTCTCCTCAGAAGATGGGTGCAGAAGCAATCAAGCAAGCAGAACTCTGGATGCATTAAAGCTGTCCCCCCATTACAGTGGAGTACCACACCAGAGAAATTCTTTCAAGGTGCTCACTTTTATCTTTGCAAACACAAAGTATGCATGGATAGACAGTTAGAATGAGGTCAAAAGGGTAAGTGGAGGAAACAACTGCCACTTTCTGATTTTCTTCATTGGCAAAGATATTTCTCAACTGAAGGAAACCTGGTGACTCACAGAAAAACAACAGAATAGATATGATTAATATCTATCTACCTTTGAAACGTCAGTGTTTCAGAAGACTGAGGATCAGCCTGCCTTGCTAGCTTATAGTAGCTCCACAGATAATGCTGAATCTTCGAAGATTTCCTAGAATTCAGGATACAGTTCAGAAGTTTAGCCACTGACTACACTTCCTAAACGTCTCCTGGACCTTGGAGACACAGAAAAGCTGAATAGATGGAAATAGTCTTTAACTAAATATGTTCAGGCTAGAAAAAAAAGATTCTGTATAATGCACAGATTATTGATAAAAGCCTCCTCTGACACTGGAAATGGTGATACCATGCAGCTGAAAATGGTGCAGTGTCTCCAAAGGCAGTGGAGAGTGTCCTCATTTAAGAATGCAAAGCAATGTAGCTGAATCAGAATAATGCTGTTACTGAGATGGCAAAACTTGCCATGATGCCCTAAACTAATGCCCATTACTTTTAGGTTTAGAGTGTCTGGGCCGGGTCACATAATTTTAATGTAATAGCATAGCTAGCATGATGTTTCTGTAGCAGAATTTAGGATGTAGTGTACAATATCCATGCAGACCTGAACTTTAAAGTCTTTTGAGTCTGGCTGAATATGGTTCTTTGATGTACTCAGAGATTTCTTACAGATGTCAAGCCAGTTTCCAAAGGAAGAACTAACCTTATTAGAAACCACTCTTACAAAAAGGTATAAAAAAGCTGCTATTGTCAGCACAGAACTGCTCACAACAGACTATGGAAAAGGGCTCTGAAGTTTTGAAACTCTAGTTTGTGAGTTAGCAATAAAATTTCCATACCTCAAAATGCAACAGGAATGTTGGAATGAATTGAAAGTCCTCTGAAAGTGTGACAATGTTTCAAGTCCCAAGATAAAATGCCACCTCTCAACATCAAAAGGTAGATACTTCATTTTCTGTCAGAAATTTTAACTGTCTTCCAAAAAGGCCGAGTTTTTGAATAGCTTCAAAGCTATCCCTCTTATGCAAAGTCTGAACCAATTTACCTGTTATTTACTCAGGAATGCTATTAGCAAAATTATTATAAACATCCTGTTAGCATTTTTTGCAATGCCCTTCTGAAAAGCCATCCTTCTCAAGGCATGTTTTCTAAAGATTTCCTCCTTCTCATACAAAGGATTTTCTTACCCACCAAAACCATTTCTCTCCAGTGAATCCTTTACCAAGAGGGAACCCTTCCCCATGGTAAGGGCCCATACCATTGAAATGTGGTGCTTTGTACCTTCTTGTACAGCAAGGAGAGAAATGTGAAAGAATTCAGAGGAATCTAACCGAACAGTGATATTGTATCCAGTTACAGCAAAAGTGAGGAGCAGCTGGACATCAGCACTTCATTAAAAACTGCAACTCACAGGTAAGTATATCAATTGCAGCTCACGTAAGTGTTTATATATAAAATATAAATGGATATACATATACATCCATACCTTATGTTCCCAGAAACAAAGTAACACAGAAGTCCTTGTGGGAGATTCCTCAACAGCTTTCAAACTGGGACAATGCTTAGGGCAATAATTCACTAATTCATGTGATTCTTATGTGATTGATCCCACTGTTTTCCAATTCTCTCTGTATTAGTTGCCATTTTCGTCCAGAAAATTGGCCCCTAATAAGCTGAAATTCAATTGCGTGTATATATGTATATCTCTCTATCTTTTTTACACTGAATAATTACCTCCCTTGTGACTCTAAATTCAGACTCACATCTCCATTTCATCTTATTGTGCTGGTATTTCTTAAAATAAATAAATAAATAAATGTATGTAACAGAGACTTCCATGTCTGTGTTGCAATTTAGGAAATCACTCTATCTCCTACCTCCTCAGTTTTTCTGGATTGTCGCAATAGAAAAACTGCTGGAGAAAAAAAATTCTTACCATTGCTTGTAAAATTTTCACTGATCCTTTTGACAAGACATTCTCTTTAGTTAGGCCTGAGTTAAAAAAAAGAATTTTTATTCCTATGGAAGTTAGTCCCTGATGTGATATAGGGCAGTTTACAGAAGTGCACTGGAATATTTACAGTATCGTATGGACTAACAAGGAGTTGCTTGTTTAGGCTTAAATATCAAGCAGTAAAATGTTGACATGGATTTGACAGCTTTGTGTCTCTGTCTTGACAAACCTGTCATCCCTTCTGTGGATTATCCTCTAGTTTCTTGCAGACTTTGCCTTCACAAGTCACAGCTCTGTGCTGTCCAGTGTTCAGTGCCATTGTACTGGTAACTCTCAGGCTGTCTTGGCAAACTCTAAGCCTGAACGAGGCACATTACTGCAGAGCCACTTACAATGCTAAATGACATGCATACATAATATTCTGTGGAGCTCTTCAGTGAATCTTCAATACTGAAACTTAACACTATTTTCTTCCCTACATGTAAGTCAGACTCTGCCAGGTGTACCACGGTATACTTTGCAGCATTCTCCCTAGATACCTTCTGCTACAGGATGGAATGATGTTTTTGCATCCTGTGTATAAGATGCCTGAAGAACATCATGTGTTCCTTCCTTGAGACAAGATTTTCTTTCCCAAAAGTCAGTGCATTACTGGCTGAGCTAGGTGATTCCCTTCTTTTCGGTACAAATTATTTTTCTTGTAGCCAGTATACAAAGCAGGATAGCACAAACAAGGCAGCTCCCTGCAGCCCACACCTAAATTTTAACTCTAATCTTAATTCTGATTCAATTTTCACACATCAGTCAGTTCACCTGCCTACCAGTTTTCTTCATTATGCCTTTTTCTGGGAGAAGCAAGACTTTGAACACCAGTTTAAACTAAAGGTGCTGCCTTTAATTTGTTTAGGACAAAGACCATCTGATTTTCTGCCCTCCAGGGCTTTTCCAGCTGCTTGTGGGAAACCATTCAAGCTTGCTATCAGACATCTCAAAAGATTATCTCGTCACACTAAGGCCTGTTTTTTCAGAGCTGAGATGGATCTGGCTGCTCGATTTGTTTATAACATGTCACCACAACATTTCTTCTTATTGCACTCCCAATATTCAAGTCTGCAGCTCTGCCAAGAGAAGCTTTGCTCATTCATCTGTCTCCCACTACTCTATGGCTCATGATTTCCGATCAGAAGACAACCCTGGTACGCCTGTCCTACAGACACAGCTTTAGTCATCTTCTTCTGACTATTAAGCAACAAGATAATCCTTGGACACTGAGAAACAAGTTGCCAAATGCTGGTTAAAGCTATCACAGTCTATATGGGCTTGCTAGAAAGGCTGCGAGGGCACACAAAGCCTGGATGCAATTACAGTAGTGCTTTTAGAATTATCTGATACCAACTATGCAAGTACATGGATGCCTTTGTCTCTGGGGTCAGAGCATCCTAAAGAAACAATCACTATTTTCTCTAAATATAATTATAAAAGAAAACCAAGTGGATGTGTACTCATTTGCACTTATACTTCCAGTCTTTTCTTCCTTTTTTCTCTTCAGTGCAG